TGGGCTTGTCGGAAAGTCAATCGGTTAGAATACAAAAGAGAGGTGTTAGTAACGATGAGCGATATTAAAAGTGATATAATGAGAGGTAGACAATGAGACCAAGAGAGAGGAAGATACCGTGTGATAGAAAATATAAAGGGCTACACACCGGTGAAGACGGTGGCGGGAACGGAGATCGGAGGTGGCCGAAAAGCGCGTGCAAAGTCGGCACGAAACTAACAGAATCTGCGAACTGCTACCGTCGAGCGATGTATCGGACATTACAGAGAGAGATAGAGAGTGAGTTAGAGTGTGATACAAATTGGAGGTGATAGGCAACATGTAGGTCTACTCACTGGAGAAGAAATAGACGAAAATGGAGGTCGGAGGTGATCGGAAAGTGCGCGTGAAGTCGGCACAAAACTATAGTTTTCTACATTGCAATTGCTCACCGTTCGGGTTTGTTCTTCGTTGTTTGAAGCCTTTCGCCGCTGTCTGGGCTTGCTTGAGGTGGGAGGAGGTTGCCAAGGTCGTCGGGGTATCTCGGTGGCTAGTGGTGACGCCTGCGATGAGCTTCGACGAAGGTTGGAGCGGCGGATTAGGGTGTTGGCTCGGTCAAGGAGGGGAGGAGTTAGAGAGGAGTTAGAGTTGGAGGGAAGATTGACGGCGATGGGGTGGTGGCCGGAGTTGGTGGAGTTGATGAAGGGGAGGTGGTGGTGCTGGCCGTTAGGCTCAATGGAGAGGAAGAGCTTGAACAGAAGAGTTGGGTTTAGGGAGCCGGAGTTCTCAGGAGAGAACGAAGGGGGAAGAGCTTTAAGAGAGTGATTAGGAGAGAGAGAGAGACATAGAGAAGATGATGAAGTCGGCGTGTACCTCGTGGGAGAGAGTTTTGTCAAAATAAGTGGGCGAGTGCTTTTGGTGGAAATTGGCGTGTTCTTCTTCGCAGTCAAAAATAGAGGGAGGAAGAGAAAGAGAACGTGTGAGAGAGAGATTAAGAAATAGTTTAGTTAATTAATGGGTGTATGAGTTAAAGCTTTTAGGTATTTCATTTTGGTTTGATATCAATCAAGACAAATAGCCTAGTGGTTAGATGGTTTGACAACAACTCAGGGGGTTTTGGTATCCGAATCCTATGAGCTCCATTTGTTCAAACTTTTTTTTTTGATTTTTTTTAGAAAATTTCTAGAAAACAGGGGGAAATATAAATATTTTTTAGAAAAATAAAATTTAATATTTAAATACCAGAAAAATTTATTTAAACAGGTAGCGAATGTTATGGTCCTTACAAGTTCTATGGGATTGTACCTCAAAAAATCCTCCATGGGATTGACACATATCTAATGGACGCCCATTTTTCATGTTCTCTTTGAGGACAAGCTCAACTTTGGGATAAAAAAAATGATTCCAATTTTCAGCCATGACTCGTCGCTCATGCATGCGAACCATAATTTGTTTACGTATGTGCTCTACCAGTTGTAGTATCTGTAGAAGTCTAGCCTCATGTATCCGCTTGTTGAATGACTCTGCAACATTTAATGTAACGTGACCATATCTAAAATATAACAGTGAATTCATCACAAATTCTTGTTAGTTCTACTGAGTAGACATTCATGTCTAATTTCATTAGGCAAACGACTTAATTGAAATAAGAAATGAAATAGCTTATACCTAATTCCAGGAAAAAACGTATTTGCCCAGTTCTCTGGAGCGTAGTTCATTACAATATTATAGGCTCTTTTGTCAATCAATCTAATGTCATCCATATAATCATTCCATTCTGCTTTAGTATATTTGTAACAAGCAGATTGTAATAGATTCCCCAAAATCTGAGTATCTGTTGCCTTTAGTCCCAAGTCCTTCAATTTTGTCCTAAAATTCTAAACTAGATGTAGAACACATCTAGAGTGTATAGCATTTGGAAAAAATTCTCTAACTGCTTCTCTGATCCTCTTATCCACATCTGATATTATAACTAGCTTGTGTGGAGGGTTGTATAAATTTGACCTTTCATAGACAATAGACCACACACCTATAAAGAGTTGCAGTTAACATACACGAAGTTAGAGTTAACAAGAAATAATTTAGAACTTACATGAGAAGCAGTAGAACTAACATGACTCAGGTTAGAACTAACATTGTAAGAATCACTTCCAGTTAATATTATTTTCCTGATCGCATATGCAATAGGCTAAAGGAAATATCCCCTGATTTCAATCGTATACTACGGCGCTGAGGAGTATACATTTGAATCGATCTTTCAGAAAGGTACCATCCAAAAATATAAGTGGTCTACATTCATGTAAAAAACCATTTATGCAGGCGACATAGCAGATGAATAGCCTTGTAAACCTCCCCTCATGTTGTTCAACATGAATGTAGCTACCTGGTTTTGTCTTCTTAACATTTTCTACATACCTAAAAATTTGAAGATTAAGTGTTAGGATTAACATTAACAAAATTAGTATAAACATCGTAACATAAATAAAATTAGTTTGTATATAGTAGATATTATCTTTTTCCATCGTAATTGATCATAAGACTCATGAGCATCACCATATAATTGCTCTTGTACTCTTTCTTTACCCCCACCATATCTTACTATAATCGACCCTAAGTCCATACGAACTTAGAAACTCCTTTTATATGTTAATAGGTCGTATATCCGATCAGACCTTTAACATGGGTTGTAATTGGGTCACAATGAATTGTCGAGAGACCCTAGATTGACCTAGATTTTTGTCATGCAGCCCACAAGTGTGATTGTCCATGAACCTTTTTATTTCAAGTCTATTTTCATTTTTAGGTGGAGAGACAAATAACATCCACGGGTAACTTTTGGCTTCATTAAACCGACAATAAACTCAAATATGCTTCGGTTCATTCTTTCCAAACAAGCACTTGATTTTTTTTGCCATGGAATAGTATAGCAAAGCCAATCTCAATTCTTTCGTACTTTCAAATCGTTGTCCCTCACCGGTTAAAGCGGTGTGCCACCAAGTAGAAATCCTCTCTGATTTGTTAATCATATCATCAATCATCAAAATATTATCTCCGAAAGGATTGTCATTGGGAATCATATTTGAAACACATGTGGACGTCGACAACGGCAGACGACAGTCTATATTGTTTGAGTTCAAACTGCTGGAAGCACTGCAAATATTAAGAACATAAACAAATAATCATAAACTACACAAATAGTAACATCAACAAATAACACTAATCAAAAAAAGCAAAAACAACAACTGTTTGTGTTAGAACTAGCATGAAATCCATTAGAACTAACAAGAACTCAATTAGAACTAACATGAAATCGATTAGAACTAATATATTTGACCTAACATGGAACTAGAGCTAGAACTAACAATAAATCGATTAGAACTAACAAAATATCAATTACAACTAACAAGAAAACAATTAGAACTAAAAAGAAATCGATTAGAACTAACATACTTGACCTAACATGGAACTGGAACTAGAACTAACAATAAATCGATTAGAACTAACAATAAATCAATTAGAACTAACAATAAATCATTTAGAACTAACAAAAAATCGATTAGAACTAACATATTTGACTTAACATGGAACTGGAACTAGAACTCACAAAAAATGGTTTAGAACTAACAAGAAAACGATTAGAACTCACAAGAAATCAATTAGATCTAACATATTTGATCTAAAATGAATCTGGAACTATAACTAACAAGAAATCAATTAGAACTAACAAGAAAACGATTAGAACTAACATATTTGACCTAACATGGAACTGGAACTAGAATTAACAAGAAAAATGATTAGAACTGACATGAAATCAATTACAGTTAACATAGAACTAACATTAACTGATTTGACACTTAACGTCGTAAATATTGATCTTAGCATCAAAAAAATCAAATAACCTACATGTCTTGTCGAACTTGCTCATTTTTTTGGATATTTGAAGAATCCTCTATTTCTTTAAAAGCTTGCATAACCTCTTTTAAACCAATATTGTGGCAATGCTCCACCATAGACGATAGATCATCTTTGTTCTCAAGGAAATTTGAAGCTTCCATTTGTTTCATCTTTGTATGACAAAGTTAATGAATCATATGGAAGATCTAACCTCTCTGACACATCAAATTTGAGATCCAAGATGGTGGTTGAAGAGTTAATCTTCAAGAATACTGCTTTATCACCCGAAGAGACAATACAGACGATGTCCTTCTCAGCCATTATGAAGGGAAGGTAAGAATAATGAGTCGAATTTTAGGATAAATAGGAGTAATAGAGAGAGTAATGGAGAGAATTTTCGGCTGATGAAGAGTAATGGGGATTTCCCTCAATTTCTCATGATAGAGTAAAAAAAGGGGGGGGGGGGGGGGGTTT